TGTGTGCGTTGCGCTGTCTACCGGACACTTCTGTTTGAGTGTCTAATTGTCCGTATTTAACTTGATCGAGACCTAGCGTGTGATGCATCTTTCTAAACAGAATCCTCGCTCGGACTCCCCATCTCAGCTAATTATATATCCATCCATCTGGATATATAAAAGCCCTTGGCGTTTTTCTCACCTCCCCTCTTTCTCTTGCACCTGCATCCCGATTCATCAGTTAATCTTACGATCCTTTGCTTCAAAGTATGTGTAGACGGTGACACGCTCTCAGTACCGCTGCCCAGGTCCCTGCCACCATCGTCTCCTACCTGGATTCTTATAACTGCCTTGCCTTCTCTGTATCATGAGAGTGACCCTGTGAAGATTTGTAATTCAGGGCGTGTCCCATCTCTGCACAAAACCCTCCAGCCACCTGGGTGGCTCAGTCAAGCATCCAACTCTTGAATGTGACTTAGGTCACGATCTCACCGTTCGTGAGTTCGAGCCCCACATCGGGCTCTGTGCCAACAGCGTGAAGCCTGCTTAGGATTTCCCCACCACCACCGTGCCCCTTTCAAAATAAGTAAATAAGCATTTTTTAAAAACCTTCCAGATGTTTTCTATCTTACTCAAAGTAAAAAATCAAAATCCTTACATAAGCTCCCAGGCCTCAGCGTGATCTCATTGTCACCCTCCCCTCCACCTACCTCCAGGCTCCCCTCTCCCTGCCCAGTGCTCCATCCACACTGGCCTCCCCATCGCTTCCCAACACCCCAGGCCTGGTTCCTTTGCACTTGCTCTTCCCTGGGTACCTTCTCTGTTGCCTCGTTCAGGTCTTGGCTCGAATGTCAGCTTCCCAGCGAGGCCTTCATTGACCACAGGATTTAAAATCTCACACCACCACCACCTCCTCCTCCAACTCTCTTTCAGACCTGCCTTCCTTTCCTCCGTCGCACTTTCTCCCTCTGACATACTCCAGACTGCCACGGCTGCTTCCGAAAACAAATTCTGAAGCCGGATTGCCTGGGTTCGTATCCCAACTCTGTCACCTCCAAGATGTAAGACCTAGGCTTCTCTGTGCCTCAGTTTCTTTGCAAAGTAGGATAGTTTTTATCTCGTCAGAACAGAACGGACCTCACCTACAGTGTCACCGGTTCACCGTGATTGTTGTTGTTGTGTTATTATTGTATTTTACTTATTAATTTCATTTTTCTTCCCCTTCCACTGAGGAAAGAACTCACGTTGCTTATTGCTATAGTCACAGCTTCCCCAACAGTGCCCGGCACACCAAAGGCACCTAATAAATATTTGTTAATCAAATTGTTAACCTCTGGAAAGGGTCATGGGGAAGAGAAGAATCCAGGAAGACTTGAGCTCTCTGTGCTATTAAAACTTTCACCAAGAGAATGTATTCGTGTATTGTGTCCTCAAAAAGCTTACAGACGTAAGTGGAAAAAAGACATGTAGGCAAATGAATTCCTAGAGGATTGATAATGTGAGAGGTGAGTTGTACAAGATGCACAGTTCAGATAAACTCTGAGATGACGCGGATGGGCAGCCCTCCAGGCGGAGGGACAGTATATGCAAAAGCAAAGAGGCCCAGGATATCAGAGCCGCTCTGACCGCACAGGCAGTGGAAACCGAGAAGACTTCAGTGTTCGGGGCTATTACATGCCCCCCCACATCCCTCTCTCACCCACTCCTGCCTTCCAGCGCCTCCAGCTAAGTGGTTGGCTGTAATTAGGTTATTACTCCATTAAGGCAAATATTATGAGCTTTTTTTCTCATTATTTTCCAGAAAGTCTTTTTCTAGGTTCCTGCTTCCCATAAATTCCATTCATTTTGTTTCACTGTTCCACTTCACATTTGATTCTAGCTTCCTTTGGTGTCTTTGGTTTTCTTTTTCTTATTATTAAGAAACTCATGTAGGGACACACAGGTGGCTCAGTCATTTGAGCGTCCAACTCTCGATTTCAGCTCCAGTCTTGGGATTGAGTCCCGCATCCGGTTCCCGGTTGAGTGTGGAAGCCTGCTTAAGAGTCTCTCTCTCTTTCTCTCTCTCCCACTGCTCCTCACCCCCCTGCTTGTGCTCTCCCTCTTTCTAAGCAAAGAAAAAAAGTCCCATATAATTTCTATCTGTGGAATATAGTGAAAAAAGAGGAAGATATAAATGATAGATAGACAGACAGACAGTCTTATCATATAGCTTTGTTTAGGAGCACAGTTGTTCAACTAAATTACTTTAGTAATTAAAATCTGAAACCCTGTAAGTGTTAGTCTGTAGTTCCTTACCAAAGACTAGAAAGTGAAGAAATTCTTTTCTCAATGTGTGATGCAGGATTTTTTTGAGGTTGTCTTTAAAATTGGAGCCTTGGGGCGTCTGGGTGGGTCAGTCGGTTGAGTGTCCAACTTCAACTCAAGTCATGATCTCACAGTTCGTGGGTTCGAGCCCCACATTGGGCTCTGTGCTGACAGCTCAGAGCCTGGAGCCTGCTTCGGATTCTGTATCTGTCTGTCTGTGTCTGTCTCTCTCTCTCTCTCCCCCTCCCTCGCTCTCTCCCCCTCCCTCGCTCATACTCTGTCTCTCTCTCTTTCAAAAAGAAACATTAAAAAAATTTTTTTAAATCGGAGCCTTGTATGACCCACCTTGCATCTTGCCATAGAGTTGGGAACAAACCAAGACAAGCAGGAGCATTAACCCCCTAGGTTAGCTTCTGGAATCATCCTTGCTAACACCTGTGTCACACTGAGTTGTGACTGAGTATCCGTCTCGGAGAGTCCCTTAAAGGTAGGAATCCTAATGAGTGATCCTGTGTACATCTAGCTCAACACCTACTTTATAATGGGTGCTAAGACTCATGGTTACGTTGAAGTGAACTGAGCTGAATTGCATTAGATTACAGTACCACAGGAGAAGGGGATTCTTTATTTTGCTTTTTCAGTGAAATTGATTTAAAATAAAGCGAGGAAAGAAAAATCATTTTTTTTGTTGTTTCTCATAAACATAGTCTCAATTTGGGGTATAGATACCAATATGTTCACCACCCATAATTTTGTAGCATTCCGCAGTGACTCATCAAAGTCCTCAAATAGATACTTTTAAAAAGTCACAATGGCCCTCGGAAATAAAATTAGACTTGGCAGATATAAATAGTATTTTTGCAGTCAAGAAAGTGGGGTCTTGTTGATACGCAGAGGAGGATCTTTAAGTATCATTTCAGCTAAGTTTCTTCTGCACCAGTAGCAGGGGCTGAAGGGAGGCAAAGATCACCTGCTCCCTTCCTGTGGGGTTCCCGGCACTCTTGTTTCGTTCTTACTGTGCGTCACTGACCGAAGCACTACTGCATTTCCTGATGCTTATTTTCTGCCCTCCACGGCTCTCCAGGCCCCCGGGCCAAACACCAGGCTGGACAGGTGCCTGTGTTTCAGCCGTGGAATACATGAAGTTAGCTTCGACTACTTTCCCTCGACTTCATTGGTTTTTTTCTTTCTTTTTTCTTTTTTTTTTTAAATGTTTTATTTATTTCTAGGAGAGAGAGAGAGACAGCGTGAGCAGAGGAGGGTCAGAGAGAGAGGGAGTCACAGACTCTGAAACAGGCTCCAGGCTCTGAGCTGGCAGTCAGCACAGAGCCCGACGCGGGGCTCGAACCCACGAACCGCGAGATCATGACCTAAGCGAAAGTCGGACGCTTAACCGACTAAGCCACCCAGGCGCCCCTTCATTGGTTTTTTTCTTTTGCAAAGGAGCTTTCATTTAAATCCTCTGCGTCCAAAATCTGCCAGGTCTAATGCTGCAAAGTAGTGGTCATAATCGGGGGTCTGGCCATCATCCTCCAGCCCTCCGCTCCAGGCCTGTCTCCTGAGCCTGAGCGCTGCACACTTACAAACCCCGCCCCAGGAGCCCCCCTGTCATAGCGAAGGCTCTTTTGCCAACGGGTAGCCATTCAGATGCATTCATTTATTCGGTATTCCTGTACTGGGTCCCTACTAGAAATCAGCATCTGTGCTCCGCCCTGGAAATCCAAGCTGAAGAGTCTCAGGCCCACCCCAAGCAGCGCACAGTCTAGTGTGACAGCAACGATATAGAGAGTACCCACGAACTAATAATACGGAGCTCAAGTAGCACTAGAAGAAAGTGATTAGAGGCGATGGGAGGGGTCCGTCCAGCATAGAGGAGTTTGAGAAGGCTTCACAGAAAAGGTGGCTTTTAGTCCTTAGCCTTAAAGGATATAAAGGATTTCATCAGGGGCACCTGGGTGGCTGTCAGTTAAGCATCAGACTTCAGCTCAGGCCATGATCTCACGGTTCATAGGTTCGAGCCCTGTGTCGGGCTCTGTGCTGACATCTCAGAGCCTGGAGCCTGCTTCAGATTCTGTGTCTTCCCTCTCTGCCCCTCTCCTGTTCTCTCTCTCTCAAAAATAAGTAAACGTTAAAAAATAAAAAAACCTTTCACATATACACGTACACATAAGGCTGAAAACCATTCTCAGAACAAAATAAATACAAGCACGAGTTATCATGAGGACACATGAAGGGCCTCATGTTTTAACCTGTGCATCACTCTGTAAGCAAAAGAAAGGTTTTAAAGCGAAAGAGGTAAAAATATGCAAGAGGGCATCATCTGTATTTTAAGGAATTCATTCTGGTGCCACTTTGCAGGGGACACTGGCTAAGGAGGGACTAAGGGCACACAGTCCCAGTTCTGAAGCCATTTCACACGTACAGATAAGAGGCGCTGACGGAACGTGGTTCTCAGTTCATACAGTTGCCTTGTCCTTGAAAATCCTGGGTTCCTAACTAGAAATTTCAAACTGGAATTATTAGTCTGACCAGGCATTACGGGTTTAGTGCCGAAAAACCCCATGAGAACCTGGGGAGCGCCGCCTGGGTGTCCCAGCCATCAGCCCAGCTCTGCACGCAGGCTCGCCTTTGTCCAGTTGCGGGTCATGGGCAAGATATTCTATTTGGGGGATGCTTTTCCTCTTCCTGCTTTGAGTAACCTCAAGTGTACCGGTCAGTTTCCTAGAGGAAGTTCTGGCGTCCGGACTGCACAGCCGAAGCAAGGAGAGCTCTCAAGTTACAGCGAGGTCTGCGAGCAGAAGGTGAACGGTGAACTGAGGGACCGGTGAACTGAGGGACCGAGGGACCAGGGACCGGTGCAGGGGACCCCAGGAGGCTGGCGCGCCTTCCCTTGGAGCCTCGCTGCAGGCTTTCCCCCTCCCCACTGGCAGAGGTGCTGGAGGAGAGCCTTGGGTTTCTGGGGTTTGTGCTGGTCCTTGTAACCCACCTCCAGGTAGCCTGCTAAGTCCCCAGCCTTAGGCACAGAACCCCAGACTCCCGGGGACAATTTGAGAAGTCTGTGCCCGTCCCACCCCACTTTTCCCACCGTGTCCTTATCGAATAAACAGATGTGTTCCTCGTCTTCGACAGCACAATCACACCGGTTTCTGATGGGTTTCGTGGGGACCTTACTTGAGAAAAGGGTCATCAGAGCTCAGAGGGGCTTCAAAAGGAAATCATTTGACACACACACTGCACATCCTCTCTTCTCTTGACCCCTCTCACTTTTCACTGACCGCATTCCCGCATACCCGTTTTTGAAAACTCATCATGTTTCTGTAGAGAACCGTCCACAAATTGTTCCTACGTTGCGGTTTTCTGTGGCACTGGGGAAACCGTGTATGACTACAATAAAAATCCAGTTTGTGAGACGATCAAGTTTTTATTTCTTTGGGGTTCGTGGGAATTCACAAGATGAGTCGTGAGTGGGGCTTACACCACACAGAGAGAAGGCGTCACTTCTGTCCAGGTGCGTCAGGGCAGGGGCGTCTGGGTGGCTCAGTCGGTCAAGTGTCTGGCTCCTGGCTTCGGCTCAGGTCATGACCTTGCGGTTTGTGGGCTCGAGCCCCGCATTGGGCTGTTGCGCTGACAGCGCGGACCCTGCTTGAGATTCTCTCTCTCTCACCTCTCTCTGCCCCTCCCCCGCTCATGTGCCCTGTTTCCCTCTCAAAATAAATAAATAAACAAAGCATGTCAAGGCAAATTTTAAATTCTGGTGTCGATTTCAGTTCTCCTGCAAGCAGTGGAAACTGGTGATGTGACTGATGCCAGGAAATTACGGCATCATCAAATCATAACACCACCACCAGGGCACAACCCCTCCCTGGCTCTCTGTAGGCGCTTTGTATATTTTGTAACCTTTCTTTTATGTTGAACATAAAATATTCTCTAGCCTCAGATAGCCTAGGCTCAAATCTGTCAGTCATCAGGCTTTGGGGATGTCATTTAGTCTCTTTGTAGTTCAGTGTCCTATCTAGATATAAATAAGTATATAAATAAAAATATATAATAAGTATTTAAATATATACTTATATATTTACATATTAATAAATCTATAAAACATGAGAGTAATAAAGTACCTTCCTCATAGGACCGTGAGGATTAGATGAGATAAGACATATAAAGCACTTAGAACATTGTAAACACTCAATGAAATTTGACTAAGAACAGGATGGTAAGACTGATTCCCTTCTCTAACTTGGGGCTACAAAATCACTACACAGAAAGGTGGGGTTCCTGGCAATCCTCCCATCGCACTAATCAGCAACTCAAGAAATAAGGGGAAACATAAAGGTCATTCCATCCATCTCCTTTTCCCGTCCCCCCTCCCTTTTCGCCATTGTTTCCTCAACTTCTACTCATGTAGTAGAGCTAAGGGCTAGGATCTAAATGCTTTTCCCTTTTTTTTGGGGGGGGGTCACTTTAGGTACTTTTTTTTATGTTTCCGTTTTTTATAATCCTAAACAAGTGAGATAGCCTTCGCTTGGGGAGACAGTGGTTTCGATGCAGCATGTTACAGGTGACACAGGCTTTTCATACAAAAACCTTCCTCCAACCAGGATGAGCTGTGCTTCCCTTCCTCTTGGCAAGATAACTCTTTGGAATAAGAATAAGAACAGAGACTTTTCCTACACCATTCCCCTTCGTATTGGCCTGCTTCCGTTGTGCCTGCTCAATTCACAATATCAAGAAGTCTAAGAAGAGAGCCTTACCGGGCACCTGGGTGGCTTGGTTGGTTAACCGTCTTGCCTTTGGCACTGGTCATGATCTTTCTCTCTCAAAAATAAATAACTTAGAGAGAGAGAGGGCCATACCTTCAGGATGCTTGATGCCAGAAGTTGGCTTTTTGTTTTTAGTGTTTATTTTTGAGAGAGACAGAGACAGTATAAGCGGAGGAGGGGCAGAGAGAGAGGGAGACACAGAATCCGAAGCAGGCTGCAGGCTCTAAGCCGTCAGCACAGAGTCCGATGTGGGACTCGAACTCACGAACCATGAGATCATGACCTGAGCCAAAGTCAGACACTTAACTGACTGAGCCACCCAGGTGCCCCTGGCATTTCTTTATTAAGGATGAAAAGACTTAAAGTTTTACTTAAGCTTTATAGAGCTGACTGCACTGCATTACTAGTGGCCCTTCATTTTTACCCTTTAAGAACAACATTTTAGTTAAAGTCTCATGTGCTTTTAATGCCCCCTCTTCCATAGTTTGAAATGCCCTAGGCTAATGTCCCAGTTACTCTATACAAGAGGAGGCCCTGCTTCTAGCTAAATAACTGCGTAACGGATTTTGCCCAGTAAACTTGCAGGCAGCAACTCACAAATCCTCATTTCTGACAGCTCCTTTCTTCCTCCCTTGAGTGGAGTGGCTTCTAAAACAGTCAACTGGACGGGCGCCTGGGGCGCTCAGTGGGCTAAGCCTCCGACTTTAGCTCAGGTCGTGATCTCATGGTTCCTGAGTTTGAGCCCCGCATTAGGCTCCTGGCCCACCCACACTTTTTCTCTCTCTCAAAATAAATGAATAAACTTTAAAAAAAGTTAACTGAAGAATAAGAGCTACTGACAATTGTGGCTTATCCGTGGTGATGCTCTCAGGGAGGTAACCTCAGCACAGGCCCTTCCTAGTAGCTGATCTCCAAAAAGAGAAACTGACTTGACTTACTGTTGTGGTTTCTCTGTATGACGGTATCAAGCTCACTGAGGAGACAACGCTATGACCATGTATAAACGAACCCGTAAGTTCTCACTCTGAGATTTCTCACATAAGAACTGGTCTTGGGGAACAGTCCTAAGTCATAGATCCCAGTCCAGGTGGCACGAGGTTCACCTGCTGACAAAGTCGAAGAACAGGCCCCGGAAGAGGATGGCACCAGAAAGAGGTGTGAGTAGCCCGACCGAGGGAGACAGTCTGGGAAGGCAGGGGTGGGCTAAGAGAAGACGGTACAGCCGTGCAGGTTAGTGGGGGGAGGGCCGTTGGGGGGGGGGTGAGCAGAGAAGCCCAGAGATTTATGTAACATCTTAAGGAGCAAATAGGCAAGAAAGGTTCTCCAGCCCACATGCATCTGTTCTGGAATCTGAAAATGACTTTGGAGGGTTTTGATTTCTTAGCGGTCCCTCTGCCTGATGTTCCACAAGGCTCGGGCACCGGCCTGATGCAACACACAAGGGCCCCACTGCCTTCCCCACAGAAGACACTCAAATATTTGTTGATTAAACGGACAGGAAAGAAGGAAGATGGGGCAAGTCATGAGTTACACGTTTTCCAGAAACCAGAATCTATTTCAACTCTAAATTCAAACCGCTCTCATCTGCCTGGCCAGCGAGCCCGCAAAAGATCACACAGGCCAGAACACTGGGACATTGTGCTTCCTCATTATGGAGACACCCTGGATTTTCTTATTCTTGAGAAACGAGTGGTGGGAAGGGGAGAAGAGTGCACGTGTGTGTGTGTGTGTGTGTGTGTGTGTGTGTGTGTGTGTTCAGAGCCTAAACAGTAGGCTGGAGCCCGAAAACCTGGATTCTAATCCATTTAGCCAATAACTTGCTGGGTAAACTTGGGCAAGCCAATCGGTTCGCCATGCAGTTTACTCACTTTCCAAGTGAGAATAATATTTATTCTATATACCTCACAAGGTGGCACTAAAGATTTAAAGAAATGATATATGAGAGCCTTTTGCAAGGATACATTTCTTTATCAGCCTAAAATAGAGGAATTAATTAGGATGGTAAATGAAAAGAGATTAAGAGGAATATTGGATGAGTAGGAAACGGGGTGGGGGGGGATGGTGCTGGGACAAGAGAGAAGCCTGTTCATTTGGCGGATGCCAGAAAAAGCCAAGACCATCCCATTCCTCAAACCACAAAATTGGCAATAATTCCTTTTATGTGGAGACATCTCTGGAAAGAGTGCTTCCTTTTTCCTGCACCCATGTGCCTGGGATTTGTATTCGTTCTGTGGCTTTTGCGTGTCTACCTTACACCAGACGTTGTGTTCGCTCGCTTACTATTATTCAGTGATTAACCCTAGAGGGCAACACTCGCATATTTTCATAGGACTTTCATAGGTCACCTCCTGACATTCCCGTCCTTGTTGATGGACATGGCGATCCGTCCCTCACTTTTTAATATATGGAGGATCAGAGGCCTAAAGAAACTCAGTGACTTGACCCAAGGCCACAAAGTAGTGATGCTGAAACTAATACCCAAACCTGGGTCTCCTGACTCGCCTCCTCCCTTAAATATGTATGGGGCGGGGGGGGGGGGGAGGGGGGGAGGGAGAAGTTACTAAGATGTTGGTCTGTAAGCTCTGGGGCCGATCTGGTGTGGGAGGCGTCAGCAGGGGTTCCTCCAGTCATCAGGGCATCCTCTGGGCACAGGGCTCTTCCCTCCACTGGACTCCGATAGGATGTTTACATGTCCGTGCGGCTACCCAGGTGGTAGGAAGTTTAAGCCTCACCTGGAGCTTACATTTAAAGCCACACGGCATTCTGGACAATGGCTTCGGAGACAGAGAAATCTACCCGTGCCGGGACTCAGCGTGTGTGTCAGCGCATCCCTGCGCCATCCGGCCGCTCACTTTTCTCTGTGTGCAATGGAGACCATTCTATCCACTTCACACTCGGACTCAAAGAAGGCCCGAGGCTTTGTACCCGGCTTTGTACCAGAGATGGGCATTCCTATTAACCCCACTCCCACCGCGGCCCTCGACACATGGATACCCCCCCATGCTCCCAGAACGCAAAACTTCCCCACCGTCTGACCTACCCAGGCCACTATCCCTACCACCCAAGGAGAGGGAATTCCAGATGCCAGTCCGCGCTCTTGTTTTTGCCTCCCGTGTGGGAGGGAGCCGATCTCGATCTGGGTTATCTCGGTCTTCCTCAACCTCTCCCTGTTATCCGCTGCAGCCGCCTCCGCGGCGGGCCTGGGCAGCTCCGGCGGGTGGGGTCTCCCGGGCTCCACCCCTCGCTCCGGCCGCAGGTGCGAGCGTGGGTCTCCGCGCGCCCCCCACCCCCGTCCCCTCCCCGGGAGCCGCTCTCCGGCTGGGGTTCGGGTCTGTCTTCCTCATCCTCGGCGAGTCAGAAACAAAGGAGGGGGGGTGGGGGGAGCGCACTGTCTCCGGCTCCGCGATTCGCCCTTTATTCTGAACTCGCGACGTCAGCGGGGCCGGCGGATGGAACGGCGGGGCGCGGGCCGGGCCGGGGCGCGGGCGGCGGGGGCGCGCGCGGGGGCCCGGGCCGCGTGGGCGCCGGGATGGAGGGCGCCGAGGGGCGGGGAGCGGGCGTGCGTGTGTGTGCGAGTGCGAGGGAGGCCGGCCTTTAGTGTAACCGGAGCTACAAAGAAGGGGAGAGTCCGGGCGAGGGAGGGCGGAGCGGCGGCGGCGGCGGCGGCGGCGGCGGAGGGGGCAGCTCCGCCAGCCGGCCCCTTCCCCCGCGCCCGCGCCCACCCGGAACGATGAAGAAGAACAATTCCGCCAAGCGGGTGAGTGCGCCCGCCGCCCGGCCCCCGGCCCCGCCGCCGCGGGCTCCCGTGCGGGCACTTGGGTCGGGGGCTCGGACTTGGCTCACTTTCCGCCCGCGCCCCCTCCCCCCCCGACCCAGGGCGCCCCCTTCCCTCCACCCACCCCGCGCCCCCCGGGGCGTGCGCGCTGCGGCGCGAGGAGACAATGAGAAATCAAACGAAACGCCGTTCATCCCGGCGCGGCGGGTAGCCAGACTGCGGGCGGGGGTGGGGGGCCCGGCGGCGATCCCGAGGCCGCCCCCCGCCCGGCCCCAGGCCCCCCGCTCTCGCACTTGGAGTTGTTTATCTGGGAGTCGGGGGAGGGCGGCCGCCGGGGAGAGAGTTGCCCAGAGTGCAGACCTGCCGCGAAGTGGGGAGCGATCGCCGGGCGCCCCTGAGTCCAGCCTGGGGGTGGGGGTGGGGTGGGGGTGGGGGAGCGGTCACGGGAAAGAAGGGGAGAGTGGAGCCGAGGGGGGTCGTGAGGGACGCAAGGAGAGGAGGCCCCCTAACCGGACGTTTCTGCTCTTGCCCGGGGGCAGGGGCCTCAGGATGGAAGCCATCCGTCCGCGCCGCCGGAGAAGGTCGGCTGGGTCCGGAAATTCTGCGGGAAAGGGATTTTCAGGGAGATTTGGAAAAACCGCTACGTGGTGCTGAAGGGGGACCAGCTGTACATCTCCGAGAAGGAGGTAGGTGCCCTTTCCCACCTCAGGCCCTGTGTGCTCACATTCCCGGTTTTGTCCCTCCACAGGGGACTTACCTGCCTCCGTACCCCCCTGCCCTCCACCCCCTTTGTGTTCCTAAAGCAAGTTCAGCAATTCGGTTGGTCTCTGCCCCCAATCACGTCTGCAGAGAAAGGTCACCCTTTCCCGAGAAGACCCGAGTTGGGATTCCAAGTTGCGAGTGCATCTTATTGGATGGTTTTTCTCCACGAACACCTTTCTGACAACCCTAATAACCCCCCTCCTGAGATGTCCCCAAAGTTCTGAGTGTCCCCTCTTGCCCCTAACCCTGCCCTGGCAGCTCGCTGAAGGTAGGGTATTTTTTTCCTTGCTGCTGCTGCAGAAAAACTCTCTTCAGCGGCTTCTCCTACACTTCCTGTCCCCCCTACCCCAAGCCAGCCAGCCTCCTCTTTCCTGTCTCCAGAAGGAAGACCTAGGAGGTCATATCACAAGTGCAGCTGCCCCAATCACAGAAAGCATGCGCGTCCCGGGGTCAGTCTCCTGTGACCTCAGGTGGAGTATCTGTGCAGGCAGCTATTTGTGTTGAAGCCAAGGTTTCTAGCCAGTGACCAAAAAAAAAAAAAGGCAAGGGACTCATTCTCCACCCTTCCTCACTTCCCCCTTTTGTATCAGAAAGGAGCCAAGCGCAGTCGCGAAGTCTCTGCACAGTTAAAAGGAAACTCACAGTCCACCTCCAGAACCTGGGCCCAGATCATTCAATCCAGACTCTTCTCCTTTTTACCTTTATAATCCTAGAGACCCGTGCCACTTGAGAAACTGAATGGCCCCCCCATGAGTCAGAAGTCATTCCAGCCCCTGCTTCTGAGACTGTGTCCACACAGCCTCGGAGACTGTCCCCCGCTCCCCGGGTAGGGTGGCCCTTCCTCCTCCGATCCTGTGTTCCCTTCACCCCGGGGGCTACTGGGAAGTCCACCCTGAGTTCTAACCTCTTCTGCTTTCTGCAGACTATATTTAGGTAAATAAATCCTTTTATGGTATTGAAACAGACACAGCCGCAGCCCCAGAGAAAGTATGTATCTGAAGAGAACAACTACCTAGGCCAGTGGGGAAGGACTGAGCCTTGCCAGGGCCAGAGAGGGACAGGCCCTTCAGGGTGTTTCCGCCTTACTGTTAACACGAAGCCGGGAACTTGGTGATGGAGGGAGGTGAGAGAAGACTTTGATAGCAGGGTTTATTTTTAAGGGCCACTTCTCCCCATTCCCCAATCCTAGAGAAGGTTTTTCCACAATTTGCTGGCTTTCCAGGTGAGAAAATAGCAATCATAAGCAAGCGTCAGAGTGTGTCCCCCTCTGGCGAACAGTCCTGCATGTCAGAGGGCAGCCACCGGGAGAACAGTGAGACGGGTGAAAAGAAGACGACGTTTTTTTCTTGTTTCCGTTTGTCCCAAGAACAGAGCCTGGGAGCGAGAGAGCGCGCTTGCTCCTGGTGTGTGGAGGAAGGCACACCGAGACAGGGGGAAGGATGGAATGACCTCAGCCTCCGGGCCTGGTGTCCTGTGAGTCAGGAGCATCTGACTGGTCACGGGGCCCCTGGCCCCTGCCGAGAAGGGTGCAGGAGAAGCGGGAAGCAGCCTCCAGGGACTCCTCTTCTCGGGAGCTGTGCCACGGCGGTCCTGGGCTGAGGGCGAAGCCCCCCAAGGGCTCGAGGCTCTACTCTGATACTTCCCGTGAGCTGCAGAGCTGAGAGATTCAAGATTTGTTCTTAGATGCGAAGCGTACTGTTAGTGCAAGAATATTCTTAACCCTGCCTGTCCTCTGGATTCTTCAACAGTCTTTTGTCGCTGTCACTTCTCATAAAGGCAGGGTCTCCCACGGCTGCTGGCATCAGAGGGGTCCTTCTGTATTTGTTGTTAATAATCATTTCCTCATTCTCAGCCAAAGGGCGCCTTAGGACCGTGGGGCTGATGGATAGGAACAGGAAGCGGATTTGGGGAGTGCTCCTGGCGGAGGAGATGGGGTTCGGGGCCTCTGTTGTCGTAAGGGAAAAGCCCGTCCCGCGGGCCCCAGGAAGGGACAGGTTCACCCTGGGGGATGGGAAATCATAAATGAGGCTTTGGGAATTTGATGGAGGAGAAACCATACAGTTTTTTACAGAACAAGGGCCTTGGAGTTGCCCAGGGAGCCCCTCCCTTGTCAAGGCCTGACCCCTGTCACTGCCTCCTGCTTCCTGGATCTCCCTGTCCGCCGTGTCCCAGGCAGAGTCCCCCCCCGCCCCACCCTGCCCTTCTCCCCTTCCTGTAAGGAAACAGAACAAGTTAATTCTCATCCCCTGGCTACGTACACACACCCAGCACTTTCCTCTCCAGGACTTCTGGTCCCTGCTGCCAGCCTCCAGTGTGGGGAGGAGGGGCGGCAGGACTCCTGCATCACCTGACCGCTCTCCCTGCCCCGCATTTCTGGGAATTGTTCTCGGATCCCCTTGCCGGCAACATCTCCACTTCCATCCACAATCCTTCCCAGCCCAAAGCCGGGGAGCCCTGGGGAGGGGAGAGCCCTGGGCGAGCCACACTGTGCCAGGGCGGACAGGCACGGAGACCGCAGTCATTGACTCGAACGCGGCTGTGCACTCAGCCCTCCTCCCCACATCTGCCCATCAGCAGCTGGGTCCGGCCCCCAAGTCCCAGCAGAGATGGGGGGGGTGGAAGAGTGAATCCCTCCCCCACTTCGAGGATGGCCAGAACCAGGGGGACACACGAAGTCACCTCCAGTGCCTACAGTTCCTATTTCAGCGCTTGGGAAGCCATTCCCGTCAGGGAGGGCGTGGATCCTCCAAGGGGGACCCGAGCCTGCTTATCTGTTTAGTTTTAACAAGACAAGTGCTGGTGCTTTTCATCCTCCATCCCAGGAAAATGCAAGCAGCTCGGTCCCAGGGTCTTCCAGCCCCGGGCTCAGCAGAGGGTGCATGGGCTTCCTGGCCATAGTCTGCTCCATCCAGGCCAGTGACTGAGTCCCTTTCCTGCTGCAAGCCACAGCAGTCCCCGAGCTGCGGGGAACACGTAATGGAGAGGAGAGGAAACTCTGAGAGGTTCAAAACAGACTGTGGGGCACCTGGGTGGTTCGGTCCTTTAAGTGTCCTGACTCTTTGATTTTAGCTCAGGTCGTCATCTCACGGTTCCTGAGTTTGAGCCCCACATCGAGCTCGGCGCTACAACTCTGGGGCCCGCTTGGAATTCTCTCCCTCTCTCTCTCTCTCTCTCTCTTTCTCTGCCCCTTCGCTGCTCGTTCTCTCTCTCTCTCTCAAAATGTTTTTTTAAAATAATGAAAAAATAAAGCAGACCTTGGCAGAATATTACTGCAGTTTACTTCGTGGCCCTCAGCAAAGGCTGGCTGAGGTCAGAGGATATGGAAAGAACTGTGGTCTCTGATTAGACCTTCAGCCAGAGGGTTCAGAGCCAAACGCTGGCTAAAGCTGCTATGGGTAGAACCAGGGTGCAGGATAGATACCACATGCAGGAAGGGCTAAGTTTAGACAAAAAGAAGGACTTCCCGGCAGTAAGGGGCTGAGGCGCTCCAGTGGGAACACGAGTCTGAAATTGCATCCTCGAGGGACAGTGGAAGTGCATCTTTGTCTAGAGAGACCTGGGGGACATTTTTTTTAATCTTCTTAATGTCTTATTATTTTTGAGAGAGAATGCGCACACACAAGCAGTGGGGAGGGGCAGAGAGAGAGGGAGACACAAAATCCGAAGCAGGCTCTAGGCTCCAAGCTGTCAGCACAGAGCCCGACACAGGGCTCGAACTCAGCAACAGCAAAATCATGACCTGAGCCGAAGTCAGACCCTTAACCGACTGAACCCCCACCCCCACCCCAGGCGCCCTGAGGCTGAGGATTTAAATGGCCTGTGAAGCCTGTGGGGCTCGCTTGGGCCGTCAGGACGCCTCGAGGGAAGGAGGGTTAAGAGCTACAGGTGTATTTTTCAGCCTGTCTCACTCAGCAAACTGAACACAGGGGACCACTGTTTCTATGGTGCTGAAGCTCCTGAAAGGAATGAGGTAGATGATTCCAGAATAGGATGTATTTGAGGAGGGAGTCAGGTCAGGTACGAAAGTCACAGCGCAAATATTTGATAAGACGGGGGCCACCAAAGGCGGCCCGTCAGGCCTTGCTTTCTTCAGGATAATAGGATTAACCTATTAGCCAGGTAAGCCGGGTCTTTTGAAGGACAAATCGAGGGTCAGAGTGAAGACAGACATCCTGGGGCTCTGGACACAGTAGCTCAACTGAAGGGAGAGCCGCCAATAAGGGGTGTAAGGGGTTTAGATGGAAGTGCACCTGAGGCCAGGCCGGAGGGCAGCTCCCCTCCCAAGTCCGGCCAAACTAACCCTCTGGGGGAGGCACGCAGTAATGTTACCCTCCACACCTCACCTCTGACACCACCCCCCCCCCAGGTAAAAGATGAGAAAAACAGCCAGGAGGTGTTTGACCTGAGTGACTACGAGAAGTGCGAGGAGCTCCGGAAATCCAAGAGCAGGAGCAAGAAGAACCACAGCAAGTTCACGCTCGCCCACTCCAAACAGCCGGGCAACACGGTGTGTTGCAGGGCGAGGGCCTCAGCCCCGGGGGGGGGGGGGGGGCGGGGGGGGAGGACACCTTCCCGTGTGGGTCCTCCGTCTCCGCTCAGAGGCCTGGACGCCCTCTCCTGCTCCTTTCGTTATTTAACCCCAGAACATCATGGCCATTTCCTTCCCTCCGGGCAGGCCAGCCTTTAAACCGTCCAGCCACGAAGATCTCTCTCTCTCTCTCTCTCTCTCTCTCTCTCTCTCTCTCTCTCACACACACACACACACACACACACACACACACACACACACACCTCTCTTGGGAGAAAGCCACCTTCTCCTGTATCCTGATGGGCAGTTGAAGCTCTGAATCTCACGTCTCTTGTGTGAGGGAACTCGGGGAGGTCCCTGTCACAGTCTGTTTACTCAGACCTCTCGTCCTCTCCAGCGCCCTGTTAACATCCACTGCCCTTCTTGGCTCTTCCCTGGCCATTCCGAAAACAAGCCCTGAGGTGTGGCCTCTCCTGGGAAGAGAGGCCGGCCTCCTTGGGTCATGGGGGACTCCGGAAGCGCAGTCTCTGTCCTCCCAGGAGCTGGGTCTGAGGGAGCACGACCGTCCTCTCGGACTTCTGCACTGCCCTCCTCAACCGAGAATGTCTCCCTCACAGGCTCCCAGCCTGATCTTCCTGGCGGTTAGTCCAGAAGAGAAGGAGTCGTGGATCAACGCCCTCAACTCGGCCATCACCCGGGCCAAGAACCGCGTCTTGGACGAGGTCAGGGGGCCCATTCGGAGGCGGGAAGGCCGGTGCTGAGGCAGTAATTGTGACCCACTGAGGCAGTAATTGTGACCCACTGATGGGGGGGGAGCTGTGGGGTGGGCCCCAGTCATTCGTCCCCCGCCCCCAACCAGCTCCACTTCTTTGGCTCCCTTCAAACACCCCGTTCTCCTGCCTCTGAGTCCTCCTGCCACAGCTCCTCTCTCCCTGCTTCCTGATGCCCGGGGCCGGCCTCAGAGGCCCCGCGTGTGCGGTAAGGGCCTTGGCCTTGGATCTTGTCAGGAGCAGTGGACAGGGTGGGTTTATTTCCCAGTCCAGGCATGCTCGGGCCACGGGGGCTGCCAGGTCGGGACAGAGTCCCTGAGAGCACCCGTGACTCACAGCGCCTCTCCTCAGGTCACCGTCGAGGAAGACAGCTATCTGGCGCACCCCACCCGAGACCGGGCGAAAATCCAGCACTCCCGCCGCCCCCCAACGCGGGGACACCTAATGGCCGTGGTACGTAAGATCGTAAGAAAGTAGAACCCGTGGAAGGGCCAGCTCCACGCCTTTCTCAGATGGGACAGTGTCCGAGACAGCCGGCCAGGGGCATTCGTGGTACCAAGGTCAAAGGCTGGGGAGGTCCCTCTGCCTGATTCCTCCAAATCTAAAGTATTTATTTAGCACCTACTCTGAGCTCAGAAGTCCTTGCCTTCAGTAACCGTATCATCCTCTGGGGGGAAATGAGATCTGCGCACAAGGAAAGTGGAAAGTAGAAGAGGTGGATGCTGGACCGGGAATATAAGCCACCATGCGGCGGCTGGCTGTCCCGACGGGTGACGGCATCAAGCGCCAAGGTCCTTTCTGGGAGGAAGGTTCGCCTCGAACCGCTGTAACACACAGTGTGGCTCCTTCCGCTGCCGGGGCTCCCCGTCTCTAGGGAGCGAGCCGGTGCGGGGTGGCAGAACCAGGAGAACTGGGCTGGGACCTAGCTGCGCGTTTCACTCTCCCTCCGTGATTCCCTGATGCTTGGCGCCTGCAGCAGAGCAGTGAGGACACAGTCACCGGGAAGGGTCGCCTACCATGAGGCACGATTGAGACACCGTGCGAATCCGCGCACCTGAGGCATCGAATACCCTTCTCGGTTTTTTATTCTAGTCTTCTGGAAATAGAACAGGTTTTATTTGAATGCAGGGGTTCAGAGGCAGCTGAGGTGTGTGGCTTGGAGGACGCTGACGGAAAAGGACAGGTCCTTGCCACCAGGTGGGGTATCGTGTGTGGGTCAGACCCAGGTCGATGCTTAGAGTCCCCCCACACACAGGAAAACTGAAGTTTCTCTTCAGGAAACTCCCAAGAGAGCGGAGAGCGTGGGAGACAAGCAGGAGTTACTGTAGATGGCAGGGAAATAGGAGAAACGTCCAAAGCGCCGTCAAAGGAATAAGCAGTGGTGACGACGTCGGAGGGCCGGGCGAGGACGGGCGCTTCTCACTTCGGGAAGGCCTGTTGAGGCGGAAAGTGCCCGGATTGCCTCGCTCTTTCAGACCATCCCTCCCAAGGTGCCCGCCTGCGGCGCTTCTGTCCCTTCACCCCCGCCCTCTCCCTCTGCAGGCTTCCACCTCTACCTCGGATGGGATGCTCACCTTGGACCTGATCCAGGAGGAGGACCCTTCTCCTGAGGAGCCGACCTCCTGCGCTGAGAGCTTCCGGGTGGACCTGGACAAGTCCATGGCCCAGCTGACAGGCAGCCGGCGGAGGGCAGACTCCGATCGGACCCGGCCGTCCTCAGAGCGAGCGAGCGGCCTGCCCCGGGCTCGGGAGAAGCCGGACAGAGGGGCCACCTACACCCCCCAGGCCCCCAAGAAGCTGACGCCAGCAGAGAAGGGCCGCTGCGCCTCCTTGGAAGAGATCCTGTCTCCGCGGGACTCCAGCCCTGCCCGCGCCCTCCAACTGCGGCCCGAGGACCCTCCGGCCCTCGGGCCGCCCCACCCGGGCCAGCTGTCCCGCATCCAGGACCTGGTGGCCAGGAAACTGGAGAAGACTCAGGAGCTGCTGGCCGAGGTTCAGGGACTGGGAGACGGGAAGCGAAAGGCCAAGGACCCCCCTCGGTCGCCTCCGGACTCGGCGTCGGAGCAGTTGCTGCTGGAGACGGAGCGGCTGCTGGGAGAGGCCTCGTCGAATTGGAGCCAGGCCAAGAGGGTGCTGCAGGAGGTCAGGGAGCTGAGGGACCTGTACAGACAGATGGACCTGCAGAGCCCTGACCCCCACCTCAGGCCCGCCGCCCAGCACAGTCAGTACCGGAAGAGCCTGATGTGAAGGAAGGGGGCGGCAGCGGTGGCTGGAACTCGGGGGACATGCAGACTCTGATCCCCAAGTGTGGCAGGATAAAGCTTTTTTACTTACCTCAGTCAAAAAAAAAAAGGGATAAAAACCCACCAACTCTGTTGCTCGTGCTGATGCCCAGCGCCCTTCCCACCCTCCTTTCCTTCCTTGTCTGTCTGACACCTGCACTGCCTCTGGTTTGAGGAGGTGACCCCTACAGCAGTGTTAAGAAGCTTTCACGTAGAGGAGAGAGAGAGGGGGACCAGGGCAGAGACTGGCCGGCCACACACACCACCCCTCTGAGGCGCAGGGGGGATGGTTCTCCCAATGACACGTGTCAGCTTCTGAGTTTGGGGCCAGGGCTGTTCTCTTGGGTCCCATTCCAGGATTTCCGTCGGAGGGTGAGCGTTTGGCTCCCCAGCCCCAGGGACGGGGAAGCCATCGCCACCTGTCTGTGCACACACAGGTGACGCCTGCCCAGCCCCGAGCAGGCGTGTGAGATCCCGCCAGACCCCAGCTTCCTGCCCTGTGGCCCCTGACTCAGACTGAGCTGCCTGGAGTTCTGCCCTGCCCGGTCTCCTAATCCCCCACACCCTTCCCAGTACTGACTCAGAGATCCAGTGCTGGACAGATGGCATTGGTTTGGTCCTTGGTGGGGGGCAGGGAGGGCAGTGCAGGGAAACTGGACAGCCAACCCCACAGAAGAGCCCCACTAAGCACGAAACTGATTTGCAATGCGCGCGGGGCGGGCCGAGGGGAAAACCAAACGTGTGTGCGCCCGTGTTCCTCTTTTTGGCCAAGCGCGGGCTGGCTGTAGCCTTCCCCTCCCCCCTCAAACCTCTTCCGACGCTCGTCGAGCCCTGACTCTGCCAAAACATCCTGATGCTCACACCACCACCCTCCCGGCCAGGCCTCCCTGCGTCCCTGATGGTGGATTCCACACACTCGTGTCGTTCTGTTTGCTTCTTTCCTCTGAAGTCCCTGAGATCAGGTTAGCGACAGTGACAGGGTCCAGAGAAGGTTTGTGAAGGCAAGGGAAGAGTGGTTTTTGGCAAGAGGGGGACAGAGAACTTCATGAATCAAGTCAAGGCGTTAGAAACCACTTTGAAGTCTATGCACCCTGGGCCAGTCCCTTGACCCTCTTCCCCAAATCTTCTCTGACCTCCAAGACCTGGAGCCTCTCTGGGGCTGACAGGGAAGACGGGATAACATGGGGACAGACGGCCTGGCGGTCCTGGCGGTGAGGCTGCACTGATGGGACGTTCAGGAAGACAGGGTAGGACTGAGAAAAGGAGAGTCCTCTGGGTCTCTGGAACCCCGACCCTTCATTCTGCTCTGGGATGCGTCTCCCATATCCCAATAAGCGTGCCGGGGCCCCGTCGCCAAGCTGAATGGTCTCAATGGAAGAGAGGTTCTTGCTTCTAAGCCCTGCACCGTGCAAGCCCGAACATTTTCCCTAGATCCGTACTTCTCTAAGCCAGTCTCTTCCCTGAGGAACGTGTATCGTACTTAGGTGAGGGACACCCCAGAGCGTCACCCGAATGTCGTCTGCAGGGTCTCCTGCAGTAGCACCTGAGGAAACCGATCTGCAGACCTGCCTTCCACCAAACAGGCCTTTCCCCTAAACTCGGCCCGGTCAGCAGACGTACCCATTGTCAAGCCAGGAAAATCGAGGTTACAAAGATAACTTTCTTTCTTTGTGTAGGTCCCCATCTTTGTATTAATTTTATCTTACCAGTATTTTCCCTCTTTTCTTTCCTAAAAGCGAGAAGGACATATATGTCCCAACATGCCAATTACCTGTGGCTCCCGGGGGGGTGGGGTGGGGGGGCTAGAGCACAGAAGGGGACTCTGGGAAGAGAATAACAGGCAAGGGGAGCAGAAAAGAAAAATCAGACACCGGGCCCTGCGGTCCCCAGGCACCAGAACCGGCCACAAGGTAGTAAAAATGAGCCCAGCCCTGGAACCAGACAGATCTGGGTTCAAATTCTGACTTTTTAGTTATGATGCCCTGGGCAAGGCATTAGGCTTTCTGCGTGTCAGTTTCCTCATCTGCAAAATGGACAGTTCTTGTCAGAGAGGCGAAGGTGATGTATGGGAGATGCCTGGCCTGGCGGCCGGTGAATTACTGTGGGCACTGAGCACACGGCTGCTGGGGCCACAGCTGCTGCTATTCTTAGCTAAATGACTCCGTGAGTTCTGCACGGCTAGGGCTAGGGGACAGCTGGGCTGAGGCCTAGGGCATGGGTTGATCACTATCACTTTGTTCGAGTAAATGAGCTGGGTCCACACGCGGTTCCCACAGCCTTTCTTCAAGGAGAGAGTGCCAGGGACTGTGCTCAGGCTGGAGATGAGAGAGGAGGCAGCCAGACCCCTGTCATGGCGAACTGCAGATACTGGCATCAAGCCACCGTTCCCATTAGAAAATTAGGTTAGGGGCGCCTGGGAGGCTCAGTCGGTTACATGTCTGACTTTGGCTCAGGTCATGATCTCACGGCTTGTGGGTTCGAGCCCCGCGTCGGGCTCTGTGCTGACAGCTAGCTCAGAGCCTGGAGCCTGTTTCAGATTCTGTGACTTCCTCTCTCTCTGTCCCTCCCCTCCTCGTGCTCTCTCTCTCTCAAAAATAAATAAACATTTTTTTTTAAACTAGCTTAAAGGGGACCCTAAAGGTGGGCTGCCGGCACGATCCCTGTTAGCCCAGAGCGAGCACAGGCAGGACGGGAGGGCAACAGCACTGGGACCCAGTCCCCCCTCTCCCAGGACCTCCGACCCCTCATTCCATCATCCCAACTTCTTCACCTGCCATATTGCCCCATTCCCTCCAGGTTGCTGGGTTCTGGGTAAGCATTAGGCCCAGCAGGGGATTTGAGCCACTACCAACAGACACCCTTCAGGGTGTGGATTTATTCGTCCTCCCCTTCTCTCCTCCATCAACTGGCCTACATCTTCTCTTACACAAATGATCTGGAAAAGGGAGACTCTTTGGGATGCCCCAGGATGGGGAGATGAGGATACCCAGGCCCCAGGGTTGAAGCCGGGTAAGGAGTGGAGACGGTGAAGAACTATGTCATTCTGTATGTCAGTGACAGTCCCCTCCACTTTGCCTGCCCTTCCCCAGTCACCAAGGTAGGGATTTGGGGGCCAGGCGGCAAACATCCGAGGTGTTGACCTGAAGAGCTGATGGGGTCGTGGGCATGTTCCTTCGCAGAGCTATGGGATGTTTAGGGTGGGAAGAAAAGGGGAATCCCCCGCAAGTTTCCCTGACTCCTACTCCTCGCCTTCCGAAACCAAGCCAAGCCTGGAGCTCTGGCCCTCCGGAAACAGCCCTTGCCCCCTTTCCCAGCCCCTCTGTCAACAGCGCAGTATACCTCAGTCTCCCCTAAACAGCAGTCCCCCCAAAAGCTCTCCCTTTTCTACACCTCTCAGGCCAGCAGACCTAGCCCTATTCCATAACACACCCCCCCCACCAGCACCCAGCTCGGCTCCAGCCCCAGCCGCCTCCCCTTCTCACTCCCTTCCCCTGCTCGGTTCATTTCTCTTCCTCCTTTCTTCCCAGCTCCCAGGCTCCAAACCACAGCAGCCAATCCCCGGCCTGCTCTGGAGCCACACCATATAAGGAGAGGTTGGAAAGAAACCCGAGTAAATGCAGGAGCAAACACGCGCACACACACACACACACACACACACACACACACGCACACGCACACACACACACCCTAGAGTTGGCGCCCCCTTCTGCACCAGACCCCATGTGCGTTCTTCCACGAGGGTGACAGCAGCCCCAGTGCCCCCTGTCCCTGGCTCACCCCACCCACTGGAGGAGGAACCTGGGTGCCTCTCCCCGCCTTCGTTCACGCCCCCCCCCACCATCTCTCCAACCAGTTGCCTCTGACCTAGATTTTCTGCACTAATTACAAGCCTAACGAGATCTAACAAACACCCAACTTAGCACAGCTGAGACCCTTGAGGTCAATTAGTGCAACCCAGCTCCGCTCAGGAAGTGAGAGATGGAGCCAGAAGCCCTTGTGCCGCCTCGCCCCAACCCCAGCCCAACCCAGCCTTGGAAACGGGCAGGGGGAGAATGCAAAAATTAGCAGGACCCGTTGAAAAAGAGGATCTTGGAGAGTGCGGAAAACTGCACTGAAGCTGGGAAGAACAGAGCCCCAGCGCCTCTTATCAGGAGGGTAGAGGTTGGTGCAGTGACAGAAGTGAAGGACATAAGGCAGTTTTCTTTCTCTTAAAGACAATATGGAGCATAGGATCTCAGAAGGGCCGGTAGCCCTAGAATCTTGGTCGGCACCAGTTTCCGAGGCTTCAGCCCTCTTTGCTTTGGGCAAGTTGGGGTTGTGTCCCCTGTCCTTCCTGCTGGTTTGGAATAACTCTGAAGTCACCTCTTTCTTTCAGAAATGCCCTTTCTTTCATGCTTGCTCTTCCTTCTTCCAGGTATTAACACAATGAGAGAGCAAACAGCTCCTTCCTCCCGAGAAACTCAGAAAAGTGTAAAATAAAGGTGATCGGGTTTGGGTGACCGACATATTGCGATAATGCCCACATTACTGTCTTCTAGAAGAAGAATGGGAAGAAATAGTCCGAAGGAGCCAGGAACCTGGTGGGCAGGGCGATTCACAGAAGCATCACGTCTCTATGTGGAGGACTCCCAGATTTGCTTTCCGGGCCCGAACCCGCCTCTGAAATAAAGGCACTTACAGCCACGTGCCTGTCTGACATCTCTACTTCAGAGTCCACAGGCATCTTAAACTTGACACAAATGTGGAAGATCTTTAAATAATGGTCCTTGATGAGTCAGTCTTCCTCCATGCTCTTTTGCGATGTGAGTTTACCCTCCTTCCCCGCTCCAAAGACATCGCTATTTATCCAGCTGCCATGTGAATCTGGGTCTGCCTTGATTTCACCAATGGAATGCGCCATTATGTAAGTTCCAGAGCTTAGACCCTAAGAGGTCATGGGGTTCCCTCGCTGCGTGTAAAAAGCCTGGGCTAGCTTTTCCCACGGAGCGAAAGAGGTCCTGAAACCACATGGAATCATCCCAACATCCAAGCCTCCAGCAAACACTGGCTAAATGTAGCCCACTATGCAAGACCAGACGACCAAC